ATTCCGGTCAAGGGCATGTACCTTGGTTGCGGACACATCCCCAGTGGGGAGTGTACAGGAGGCAGCTGATCGATGTTTCTAACTCTCTATCCCTCTCCCTTCCTCTCTGTAAAAAATCAATAAAATAAATATTTTAAAAAATAAATAAAGGGCCAGAAGGTTGAGAACCTCTGGTCTAAATGCCTCCTGGACATCTTCGCTGGAATGTCTCAAGGCACCTCAGACTCAACCTACCTGAGACTCAGAATCCCCCTTTCAAGCTACATCCTTTCCTATGTTCCCGACTTCCCTGATCAGCATCATAGACAACCCAGGTGTGCAAGCCTGGAAAGTGAGGAGCCACCCTGGACCCCTTCCTCTCCCACCCCCACAGCCAGGCCACTCATAATTCTTGTCTGGCCTCCCACATCTCTCTCATGTCCACCTGCTCCTCTCCATCCTCTCAGCTGCCACCCCTCAGCTTCTTTCCATCCCAGGCACCATCATGTCCCCTCTTGTCTGGACACTGCAGTGGCCTCCTCACTGGTTTCTCTGTTTCTAAATAAAGGGCCAGAAGGTTGAGAACCACTGGTCTAAATGCCTCCTGGACACCTTCCCTGGAATGTCTCAAGGCACCTCAGACTCAACCTACCTGAGACTCAGAATCCCCCTTTCAAGCCACATCCTTTCCTGTGTTCCCGACTTCCCTGATCAGCATCATAGGCAACCCAGGTGTGCAAGCCTGGAAAGCGAGGAGCCACCCTGGACCCCTTCTTCTCCCACCCCCACAGTCAGGCCACTCATAATTCTTGTCTGGCCTCCCACATCTCTCTCATGTCCACTTGCTCCTTTCCATCCTCTCAGCTGCCACCCCTCAGCTTCTTTCCATCCCAGGCACCATCATGTCCCCTCTTGTCTGGACACTGCAGTGGCCTCCTCACTGGTTTCTCTGTTTCTCTCGTTCCTCCACCCCCATCCCTCCCCTACACACTGTAGCCAGAGGGGTCTCTTCAGCACATTATCCAGCCCTGCCCTCCTCTCCAGCTTCATTTTGCTCTACTCTCCTCCTCACTCCCAGCATCACCACTTCAGTTCTTGGAAAGCACTATGTCCCTGCTAACCACAGGGCCTTTGCACAAGCTGATCTCTCTACTTGGAGTTTCCTTTCCTCCCCCTTGGCCTAGCTAGTTCTTCCTCAGCCTCAGATCTCAGCTGGAGCTTCCCTTTCTCTGGAAAGCCCCCCTAACTATTCTCAGAGAGCCACCACCACAGGTCTTTCCTATAGAGTTGCTCATATCAGTTCCAGATCATCCACACATGTGCATGGCCATTTGGTTAATGTCTGACTCCTGTGATGGACTGTGAGCACCATGAGAGCAGGAACAGTGTTCTTCCTCAGCCTCAGATCTCAGCTGGAGCTTCCCTTCCTCTGGAAAGCCCCACTAACTATTCTCAGAGAGCCACCACCACAGGCCTTTCCTATAGAGAGTTGCCCATATCAGTTCCAAATCATCCACACATGTGCATGGCTATTTGGTTAATGTCTGACTCCTGTGATGGACTGTGAGCGCCATGAGAGCAGGAACAGTGTTGTGGTTCTCAA